ACCTTAAATTTGTCAAATCCATCTATGACAAACCCACTGCTAATATCATTCTAAATGGGGAAAAATTGAAATCTTTCAACCTTCAATCCAGAATTAGACACGGATGGCCACTATCTCCTCTCCTATTCAACATAGTGCTTGAAGTCCTAGCGATAGCAATCAGGCATGAGAGGGGTATTAAGGGTATTCAAGTGGGGACAGATGAAATCAAACTCTCGCTCTTCATCAATGATGTGATATTATACCTAGAAAACCTCATGGACTCTTGCAAGAGACTCCTAGACTTGATAACTGAATTTGGTAAAGTTTCAGGTTATAAAATCAATATATACAAATCATAAGCATTCATATATGCCAAGAACCATCAAGCAGAAACTCAAATCAAAAATGCAATACCCTTTACTATAGCCCCAAAGAAAATTAAATATCTAGGAGTATACTTAATGAAAGATACAAAAGATTTATACAAGGAGAACTACAAAACACTAAAAAAAGAAATTGTAGAAGATTTAAACAGATGGAAAAATCTACCTTGTTCATGGATTGGTAGAATCAATATAGTTAAAATGTCAATATTACCTGAAGTGATCTACAGAATCAATGCAATCCCCATCGCAATACTATCAGCATTCTTTACAGATCTAGAAAAAATAATTCTTCACTTCGTATGGAACCATAAAAAAAACCTCATATAGCCAAAGCAATCTTAAATAAAAAGAACTGGGAGGCATCAGTCTTCCTGACTTCAAACTGTGATATAAAGCAATAATAGTTAAATCATCCTGGTACTGGCACAAGAACAGAATCATGGATATCTGGAATAGATCTGAGATACTAGAGATGAAACCATCAGTATACAGTAATCTAATCTTTTATAAAGCTGACAAAAATATACAATGGGGAAAAGAATCTCTCTTCAATAAATGGTGCTGGGAAAACTGGTTAGCTACATGCAGAAGAGCAAATCAGGATCCCTACCTCTCATCTCTCACAAAAATTCACTCAAGATGGATAATAGACTTAAACTTAAGGCATTAAACTTTAAGAATCCTAGAAGAAAATGTTGGAAAAATGCTATCAGACATTGGTCTAGGCAAATAATTTTTGAGGAAGACCCCCAAGGCAATCACTGCAGCATCAAAAATAAACAAATGGGATCTGATCAAATTAAAAAAAAATTCTGCACAGCCAAGGAAACCATCAGTAGAGCAAACAGATAACCCACAGAGTGGGAGAAAATGTTTGCTCTCTACACCTCTGATAAAGTTCTAATAACAAGAATCTATCTAGAACTTAGAAGAATTAACAAGAAAAAATCAAACAATCTCATCGAGAAATGGGCGATGGAAATGAAAAGAAACTTCTCCAAAGAAGACAGAATAATGGCCTTCAAACATATAAAAAAATGTTCAACATCACTGATCATCAGAGAAATGCAAATCAAAACCACAATGAGATACCACCTAACCCCAGTAAGAATGGCCTATATCAAGAAATCCCAAAACAACAAATGCTGGTGAGGATGCGGAGAGATACTCTTACACTGCTGGTGGGACTGCAAATTAATGCAAGCTTTGTGGGAAAGAATTTGGAGATCCTCAAACAGCTAGAAATAGAAATACCATTCGACCCAGAAATAGCATTGTTGGGCATCTACCCAAAGGAGCATAAGACATTCTATTATAAAGACATCTGCACCCGGATGTTTATGGCAGCGCAATTCACTATTGTACGGTCATGGAAACAACCCAAGTTCCCATCAATTCATGAGTAGATAATTAAAATGTGGTATATGTTCACAATGGAATATTACTCAATCCTAAGAAATGATAGTGAGATAGCACCATTTATGCTATCCTGGATTAAGCTTAAGCCTGTTATCCAAAGTGAGGCGACACAAGACATGGAAAATGGGCCCCACATCTACTCACCATCAAATTGGTAATCATTAAAACTATTCTCAAATGGTGGTAATGTTCACTAGGGATTTGGGGGGTGGGGGATACCCAATCTTAGGGATGTGGCGAGCATTTTGGAGGGGAAGGGCATAACTCTAACCCTTCTAAGGGAGAAGCAAAGATATACAATGTAACCAAAATGTCAAAATTACAACAACAAACAAATAAAAAAGAAAATGAACTTTTTATCAGGTGGTGGCCAGGCAGGAGCGAGGAGGAGGAGAATGGTGTGTACTTACATAATGTGTGTGGTGCGTACCACTGGGGGATTGGACACATTTGAATCTCTGGCACAACAGGGGGAGGGAGGGGGGCCAGGGGAAATATTTGTAACCCTAACAATATTTGTACCCCCATGATATGATGAAATAAAAGGAAGAAAAAAAAAGATGCGTATTCGGGGAATTTATGTACTTATAAACATGAGAAATGCTCCCTGTGAGATGCATTGCAAATAAAATTCTTCAGTCCAGAACAATTATATAATTATACTTTTCTTATTTTCCATTCATCCTTCTAATCACATGGATGATGATTATAAAAATTCCTGTTTATGGTTTTCATAAAAGGTTTTTCTCTAAGCAGTTGTTACTCTGGTCAACTCTACTTTTAGGTACTTGCAAACTAGAGTAGCCTTTGGGGTTCCTTAGAGAGCATAATGAATGAAGAGAACATTCATGTACTTTATAATACAGGATGTTGATTGTGTGGACACCAAGAGTTTCAGGTACTCTAGTTAACAAGTCCTGAACTCAAATATATGAACCATGCATCCATGGACACTATTATAGTTTTTATTCAGACTACAGGACGATGACAGAGAGTTGGATTATTTTCTCCTGATGAGGTCTAAGACTTGAAATCTTTGCAATGGCATATTTTTGAGAATTCTGGTGGGGAGGGTAGCCTAAGTGAAATCTGGTAAAAAGTTAAGAGGTTGAGGGAAATCATATCTTCCATGCTATCCAATATTAATGCTTTGGAACCCAGTGCTCAGCACTGTGTTATCTGTGACTATAACATAATGCTAATACTGTTTTATGTCTAAAATCTGCTCACTTTTAACTCTGAGCACTTAGAGCTCATTGTCACTACTGGCATTTTGTGATGTGTCACTCACTGTCCACATTTGCTTATGCCTCCTTCATACCCTGGCATGCTGCATTTTTTTTTTCTGAAGAATTTAGTGATGGATCATACTCACAGTATACATCATTATATAATATAATGTACACATAAAAATAAAGAGGACAAATGGATTTCACAAGTCATTTAGCATACAGAAACTCCTGTTATAATGAAATGAACAGAGCAACCCTCTATGTTTTAAGATTATGATTTAAATAGGTTGTGCTTATTCACAGAGTGAAAGATAATAATGGAGGAGAAGTTTCTTGAATTACAAATTCCTATTATAAAAGCACCTAAATATCTGCTATGCTGATCTCAGAAGTGAGAAATGTGGTCCAGGCTAGCTATATGTCTCACTCCAAGTTTCCAGGGCACAGGAACTCATTTTCTCATTAAGGCTCTGAATGCAGTGAAGAGCAGTGTTCCCCAACACTTTTGGCACCAGAGACCAGTTTCATGAAAGACAATTTTCCCAGTTAGGGAGTGGTGGAGTTCTGCAGCCCAGTCCATGGCCCAGGGGTTGGGGACCACAGGTGTAAGGATACATTCATGATTATGGACAATTAAAGCAAAAAACTAACTTGGTGGCTGTCCATGGGCTGCAATATGCAATCCCATGGCACTTAGGCTTTGTAGACATGTTTCCTATACATAGCCCTGGTGCTATCCAGACTCGTACAGTGGCCTGTGAACAGGGAGCTGTGTGAGGATGAGTGAACAGTCCTCCCTGCTATAGGGTTTATTGTTTAGACAGCACCTATGCAGAGTTATCCTTCAACCTCTGTCCATCTCTTAAATCACTGTCTGGAGGGTGGGGGATATGTCATATATAGCTTCATTGCTGCTTCTTTTTCTTATTTTAACATGGCCCCCCTGTGTCTGTACAACATATTCTAAATCACTCATATGCCTTTAACTTTCAATAATCTGGTTTCCAAAGTTTTATTCCCTGGTGGTATAAGCAGCGGCTGGTCTAATCCCCCATGTTTATTAAAGTTTTGTTTCTTCCTGTACTCTAGTCATCTACCATAAAGATACCAATTCTGTGGCTTATGGGCTTAGCAATGAAAAATCTAATTCCACAATGTAAGTGTCAACTTCATGATTGATAACTTAATTATCACAGCATTTTTTTCAAAGGCTTTAAGGTAAAATTCTCTTCTAAAACTTGAAAAAGGAATCCCTATCTCTAGGAAACACTCCTGAATAAGGAAATATGATTTGTGTTCCCTGTCACTGGCATTTCTCAGTCTTGGCTTTTAATGTCCAGAAGTGATGTCTTCAACAAAGTCTTCAGTATGATCCTGTAGCTACACTGCTAAACACTGTCTGAGAATCAGAATTCTGTGATATGTTAGGCACAGGTACCTGTCTTTGAAGATGTGTTCACTGACATACAAAGTAGTGACTGTGTAACAGGGAATGTTATAGGGAAATAGAAAGGAGAGGCCCTGGAGATTGAGGGTGTCTTCCTGTAGCAGGTGCACCTGGGTTTGGAGAGGTAGATGCTTAGGCCGCTTTGGTATTTTCTCCCTATATGCCCATTGGTCCTCTGAGTGGAGGTTTTGTGTTTATGTATTTTAGGTAGCAAAATAATTATTTTTAAAGAACATTTATTATTTCAAGATTATTTTAGATTTAGAAAGATTAAAAGATGGTACCATATATTCTTCAGCTTCCTGAAATATTAGCACTTTATGTGCCTCAGAAAATTACAAAGGTACAAAACTGTTAACTAAAGTACAGTCTTTCTCCATATTTTGACAGGTTTCTCACTAATGTCATTTTTCATTCCAGAATCTAACCCAGGACACCACATTCATTTACTGTGAGCTGTTTTACTTACTTATTTCTGCATAAAAAATTACCTCATACCTTAGTGGCTCAAAAACACTGAAACATATTACTTACAGTTTCTCAGGGTCACATGATCCAACTATTTCAACTAAAGAGTCACATGGGGAAGGGTCACTGTCCAAGCTGATGAGATTGTTGCTAGGATCCAGTTCCTGTCCAGGACAAGAGGACTTCACTTCTGAATAACTGTAAACCTATTAAGAATTAAAAATAATCCTTTACTAACTTTTTTTCTAAGAAAAAAAGTATGGAGAAAAAGAGAACACTTCATTTTATGAAGGCAATTTACACTGATCCCACAGTGGACATTTCAAGACAGGAAAATTACAACAAAAATGCCTCAGGAAACAAAGGCAATGATCCTCAGAAAAATACTATCCAAACAAATTGGCAGCATATAAAAATAATTATACATTATAACCAGGAATATTTATCACTAGAGTGTAAGTTTCATTAAACATACAAAAATATTAGTGCAATTCATTATTTTAATAGAATAAAAGACAAAAACACAGAATCATAACAAAAGATGCAGAATAAGCATTTGACAAATCCAAAACCCATTCATGAAAAAAAAAAATAACACTAAACAAATTAGGCACAGAAGGAAACTTCCTTAACCTAAAGAAGACATCCATGAAAAACTCACATAACAACATACAGTATTGTGAAAGACTCAGTATTCTCTGTAAGATTAAGAAAAAAGAAGATGTCCACTCTTGACTGCTATTTCGCATTGTACTAGAGTACATAGGGTGATTTGTCTAGAAAAATAAATATAAGACATCCAGATTAGAAAGAAATTCAAACAATATTTCATTGCAAATAACTTGATGTTGCTTATAGAAAATCCTAAGGAAGCCACTAAAATAAGGTTAGAACCCAAAATGAGTTTAGTAGCAATGAAGTAATCAAAAACAATTTAAAAAATCAACTGCATTGCTATATACTAGCAAATAATCTAAAATGAAGCTCAGAAACACTAATTTATGCAGTAACTGGCAAGCTGATTCTAAAATTCATAAAGAAATGCAAATGCTCTGGAATAGCCAAACCAACCTTGAAAAAGGACAAAGTTGGAGTATTTGACTCATATTCCTGATTTGAAAGCTTACTATAAATTGATAGTAAGGATAGACATTGATATAAGGTGGTATTGATATAAGGATAGACATATATGACAGCAGAATAAAGTGCCCCAAAATTTGTTGGGGAAATATGAATAAGAAATTAATGATCATAAGATCATTATTTTATTACATCGCCCAATGTTCCTATATTAAAGACAAAATCAAGAGTTTGCAGGGTTTTGCCCTAAAGGAATATATAAACTCATTATTTCACTTATCAGGGGTTGCCTCTGCCTTGGGAGGGCTCTCAAGGCTCCAGTAAAGTTGTTTTCCAAGAGACTTCCTGGTTATCTCCTCTGTGGAGCTCTCCTATTTTTGAAAGGAAAAACAGGTAAATACCTGGCTCACAGGATGGGAGCCAGACACAATGAGTGCCCTTTTCCCAGAGACATGCCCCTGTGGTTATAAACAATTTGTTTTATAGAGATAGGCTTCCTGCTCTCTCCTGATTGTCTGCCTTAAGTCCACAATAACTGGATCAAAAAATATAGAGCCACTATACCTTTGTTATTCCTGTTAATTGATAACTATCTCTTAAAACTTAAAAGTTAGCCTTTAAAAGACTTTATATCTGTTTGTTCACCTAGATAGATTAAAAATTGTAAAAAGCCCTTTAAAAGGACTTTTTACCCTAACCCACTACCTGTTACTATATAATCCTGTTCACATAGCAACTGCACTATGTAAATGTAAAATTGATATGTAATGTAATTGATATGTAAATATGTTACCCTGGCAAACTGATAATTGATATCTATAATTATAAAAGCCTATATAAATCTAACTTCAGGGCTGGACCACTTACAGAAATGTGGTCTAGACTCCTGAATACCCCCACTGTTATCTGATCTTCTTATATAAAACTATAAACTACACCTTAGTCTCTATATATTCTTCTATTCTCTCTTTTTCCTATCAATTTTCTTATCCTCCACAATGGTTCTCAAACTTTTTAAACAGGGGGCCAGTTCACCGTCCCTCAGATCGTTAGAGGGCTGGACTATAGTTTTTAAAAAAAACTATGAACAAATTCCTATGCGCACTGCACATATCTTATTTTGAAGTAAAAAAGCAAATGGGCAAAAACACCCACATGTGGCCCTTGGGCCGTAGTTTGAGGATGCCTGCTCTATGGCGATCCCTATCTAAGGGACCTGGCTACACAGGGAAAAGTAGCTAATCTCCTCATGGCCCTGCCTCCCCACAAAATTAATTCTTAAATTCATGGTAAACTAATTTTGCAAGGTTATCAACACAATCAAAATATTTTTTGCAACAAATCTTCCTGGGACAAGTAGATATACATAGGAAAGTTGAACTCCTCTGTTATACCATATACTTCATTGATTCAACATAGAACATGGACCTACATGTTAAGAGTTAAAAGTAAAAATCCCATTGAAGAGAACATCTTTGTGTTCTAAGGTGAAACAATAGATTTTTTTTTAATATTGGGGGAATTTTATTTATTTTTTTCTAATTTTTTAAAATGTATTTCAGAAATTATGGGTGTAAAAATGTTTTGGTTACATAACTTGCTTTAGTACCATTTGAGTCAAAGTAATAAGTGTGTCCATCACCCAGATAGTGTGCATTGTACCCAATAGTTGTAAATTTAACCTGCTTGAGTTCTGATCAATGTTATTTCCATATGTGTACATAGCTGTTGATCATAGTTCTAATTTGATGGTGAGTACATGTGGTATTTGTGTTTCTATTCTTATGATAATTCACTTAGAAGAATTGTCTGCAGCTCCATCCAAGTTAATAAAAGAGGTACATGGATTTTAACATATGACACTATTATGCATGTGACAAAAGAAAAAAATAGATTAATTAAATTTCCTCAGGATTTATACCATCACAACCACCAAAAGCAAAGGAGAAAATATTTCCAAATCATATGGCTGATAGAAGAATATTTTCCAGAATATATAAAACATTCTTACAATTCAAAAATAAAAGGACAAATGTCCTAAATAAAAGTGGGCAACTTATGTGAATAGACATTTATCACAAAAAAACTATAGAAATGTCCTTAAGCACACAAAAAGATGGATGTTCAACATATTAAGTCTTCAGTGAAATGCAAATCTAAACTATCATGAGATACACTTCACAAACTTTAAAGGCATACTCATAATTGAATGCAGCTAGTTTGTAAGACTACATTCTGTATACTTTATATGACATTGTAGAAAAGGTGAAATTATAGCTAATATAAAAAAATTACTGATTACTAGGGGTTTGGGACAGGGGAAGTTTGAATATGGGAAATGCAGAAGATTTTTTTTATATAATGAAATTATTCTCTTCACACTGTAATGATTTGTTAATGACGCTATTTTTCAATTGGCAATAACATTTTTACAATATCAATATTAAGATGCATCTCTATTTCAAAGATATGATAATAGGGATTCTAGCATATAGAATGAACCATTTTTCTCTGTGACTTCCTATTTTTCAGTGTAAAACTGAGAACTTTATAAAGAGTGAACTTAAATGCATGTACTTAACATACATTAAATAATATGTTAAATATTATTTTAGATTGGGGGACCCCAGGGTGCAATGCACACAAATAATCTAATGGTATAACAAATTTGTGAAGTAACATGTGGGTGAAAGTAGGACTGACCTAAGGAACTTAGGCAATAGGGGAGATTCTAAAGCTAAAGCCAAAGGATCTGAACATGAGCATTGTGCTTTATTTATTAAAGTTTTTTTCTTCCCCATGGACATAATGTATTGTCAATTCTGAAAACACTATGCATATGTTTTGGGACTCAGTGATTAAAGGAGGTGAACTTTCTCACTGTTAGAGTGGGAGGATGCATAGAAAAAGTGAGAATGGAAAGATTGATTCAAGTTTTACTGGATTAGATGATGTGGTGCTGGAGATATTAATAGAAATGCAAATTTAACTTCATATAGATATATATGGAGAAGTATAGAAATATTTATATATACGTGTATAAGTGTGAGTTAGTATAAACACATGTATAGTTACGCTGCACAGTTGACAAAGTCTAGAATCAACAGACTCCTAGTGCCCATTAGTTCACTCACTGTCCAGATCTTTACTTCTAATACCATTCACCAAAGAAAAATAAACTAAGATTCCTTGAAAAAATGGTTAATACTAGGCTTTGGCAGGGAAGCAACATGATTAGCCTACAGCATCATGTAGTGCCATAAAGTAAAATGATGTTAAACAAAAACACAACCAACCAACTACACAAAATAAAAATGTGGGCATTTCAATATATGAGTGGATTAATAAAATGTGGTATATGTATGCCATGGAGTTCTATTTAGCCACAAAATATAATGGTGATATAGCACCTCTTGTATTATCCTGGCTAGAACTGGAGCCCATTCTACTAAGTGAAGTATCATAAGAATGGAAACACAAGGGCCACATGTACTCATCATCAAATTGGTATTAACTGATAACACTTATGTGCACATATAGTACTAACATTCATCAGGTGTCACACAGGTGGGAGGGGGTAGAGGGGATGGGCATAGTCATACCTAATGGGTGTAGTGCGCACCATCTGGAATATGGACATGCTTGAAGCTCTGACTTGGGTGGGGCAAAGAAAATATATGTAACCTAAACATTTGTACCCCGTAATATGCTGAAAAAAATTAAAAAAAAATAAATAAACTAAGTATAGTGTAAGATAAACATCACAAATCATGCAATAATCCATATGATTTAAATAAAACATTGAATAAATAAATAATACATTAAGAATAGATGAATTACCCATGGTGAATAAATACAAATGATATTTGTAGAAGCTCTCTCTCTAAGGAGGCAGAGCAAGTTTCTCCATGTTTTAAGTATGTGCAATACATAGTGACTTCTTTTCAAAAAGCATAACATGGAAAGAAGATTAATTTTACAGAGAAGAAATTTGACCAAAACTACCATGTCCAGATGATCAAATTAGCATTAACAGTAATATACATCCTTATAAACTACTGACAAGCCACTCTGCAAGTTTTAATGATTATCAGAAAGTGATAATGGAAGTGTTTTACACCAAGTT